TTCGGCGGCCCGACGTCTCTATCTTTTTCACGAACACCGTCCCGGCGGCATCTCTCACGAGCAACCATCCCCTGTCCTTGCGGCCGGCGGCATCTCTCTTTTACGTACTCCTTTATCGGCGGCATCTTTCTCTCTCGATTATTCATCCCAGCGGTATCTCTCTCTCCCCCTCTCTCTCAAAAGCACCTAATTTTATCACAAGTTATTGTGTTGTTGGAAATCGATTGAGAATGTCCACCAGACCTTTTGGCTGGAAAAAATCAACGTTGTTGCTCGGTTGTCTCACTTTCAATTTTAATCTAGTTACCTTTGCCTGCTTAACCTCTTATGGAAAACAAATAAGTTTTTTGATCCAATGCATCTGATCAGTATGTTTCTTTTTCCTGCAGTATTCTAATTTATTACGATGGCTGATGGTCATGAAACTGATAAGAATATTGAAATATGGAAAATTAAGAAGTTGATTAAAGCACTTGAAGCCGCAAGAGGCAATGGGACTAGCATGATCTCTCTCATCATGCCTCCGCGTGATCAAATATCCCGTGTTACTAAGATGCTTGGTGATGAATTTGGAACTGCTTCCAACATTAAAAGCAGGGTAAATCGCCAATCTGTTTTGGGTGCCATCACATCGGCTCAGCAGAGACTCAAGCTGTATAACAAGGTTCCTCCAAATGGGCTTGTGCTATATACAGGGACTATTGTGACTGAAGATGGAAAAGAAAAGAAAGTTACAATTGATTTTGAGCCTTTTAGGCCTATAAATGCATCTCTCTATCTCTGCGACAACAAGTTTCATACGGAAGCCTTGAATGAACTCTTAGAATCTGATGATAAGTTTGGCTTTATTGTCATGGATGGTAATGGAACACTTTTTGGCACATTGAGTGGTAACACTCGCGAAGTCCTTCACAAATTTAGCGTTGACCTTCCTAAGAAACATGGAAGAGGAGGCCAGTCAGCACTTAGATTTGCCCGTCTTCGGATGGAGAAGCGACACAACTATGTGAGGAAAACAGCTGAGCTTGCAACCCAGTTCTTTATTAATCCTGCCACTAGCCAACCGAATGTTTCAGGATTGATACTGGCAGGATCGGCTGACTTCAAAACAGAGCTCAGTCAATCTGACATGTTTGATCCTCGCCTTCAAGCCAAAATACTTAATGTGGTCGATGTCTCTTATGGAGGGGAAAATGGATTCAATCAGGCTATTGAATTGTCGTCGGAGATCCTGTCTAATGTAAAATTTATACAGGAGAAGCGCTTGATTGGAAAGTACTTTGAAGAGATTAGCCAAGACACAGGGAAATATGTCTTCGGTGTTGACGACACACTGAAAGCTCTGGAGATGGGTGCCGTTGAGATACTCATTGTTTGGGAAAACTTGGATATCAATAGGTACGTATTAAAGAATGCTGCCACTGGTGAGATTATTATAAAACACTTGAATAAGGAACAGGAAGCTAGTCAGAGCAACTTTCGTGACCCAGTCAGTTCTGCCGAGTTGGAGGTTCAAGAAAAGATGGCGTTGCTGGAATGGTTTGCAAATGAGTACAAGCAGTTTGGTTGCACCCTGGAATTCGTTACCAACAAATCACAAGAAGGATCACAGTTCTGCAGAGGATTTGGTGGTATTGGAGGAATTCTTCGTTACCAGCTTGACATAAGATCGTTTGATGAACTATCTGATGGGGAAGACTACGGTGATTCTGAATAGCAATCAATCAATCATTCCCCATTGCTGGTGCAGATGGAGATGGGGATAAAGAGCTTGCACCAGCGCTCAGGGTTCGCGGAGTTTAGCCTTGGTTTGAACTGGAAAATTTGTAGAGGCTTTATTAAGGTTTATTTTTTCACCTTCTCCATGTTGGTTCCTATTGCTTCTACCAATTATTGTTTAAAATTATATTTGTATTCCTCACATTCTCCTATCTATCCTTTCTATGCGTAGGGGTTATGTCCTATTGATCTGGATTTAGCGCAAATTATCCGATAGATCGTCAAGGATATATGCTTCTTCAATCTGTTGCGGCAGTGCTGCCCTTGTTCTCGTGGAGAGGTTGCTGTCTGAGAGTCAGTTACTAAAATATTTTAAGTACTGCAATAAGATTCAATGCCGTATGATATGATATTAACTTTGAGTTTCTGTCATGTTGACTATTAATCGGTTGGTCACGAACCATGTCAGTTTGATATCTGAATTTATGTGGGTTACAAAATTTGAAGGTTTTGTTCAGGTATAGCTTTTAATCTCTAAAAGTAACGATCGTTTGGAAACAATTGAAAACGGCAGTAGAAATTAATCGTTTCTAAAGCAACTTTAAAAAATGGAACCAAACTGATATTATTTCTAAAGCAACTTTAATGAATGGAACCAAACTGATATTATTCCTCTGATCGACTGATGTGTAATGCTTTGCTAGTTTTCAGTAAGAAAATTTCTTTCATCTTCTAAGATGATGGAACCTTGTTAAGTGATCGTCTACATAGCTACCACAATTGTGGATGCCAATGTCTTCTTGTTTGTGATAGTTGAAGCTTATGACCGGGAACCAGAAATCAGCCATTGAAGTCATGTTTCATTTGCAGATTCAAGGATGGATTAACATAACTAGTTTCAAAGTGTGAGTTTCAAAGGGGTTAAATTAAGCTGTTGGGACACCTTGCGTGGGTTCTCACAAAAAGAGGCAATTAGATTTCACTGGTACGACACCTTGCATGTAGGATGTAGATAATTTATGAGAGAATTTTAAAGATTGCAAAAGGTCAATAATTGCAGGGGTGGGAAAGACGCAATTAGATTTCGCTTTTACATCAAACTGTGGTGTCACAATAAATAGCTGTTCCCTCAGCTCCCTCTTTTCTCTACATGATCGTTGGCGGGCAGTTCATAACTCTTTTCCCCTCGCACATATTTCTGTTCAAAGTTAAAAGATCGGTGAAAGGGGGACGCAACAACTCTTCACGGCAGGAAAAGAAAATTTCAAAGCCATCATAAGTGTCGTACATACAACATAAACCATTTCAGTTCCTGATAACAATGCCAATAGAATCTTACATATTTTAAAAGAAT